CCCCAAAACCCCAAAACCCCAAAACCCCAAAACCCCAAAACCCCAAAACCCCTCAAAGTCTAATTGGCTGAACCCTTTTATAAAATTTAAGTAATAATCTATTATTATTTTATTAGATATAAGATGGCCGGTGGAAAAGAAAGAAAGGCAAAGAAGAGCGAGTTCTATGAAAGAGTCTACAACATTTTCGACAAGTACAAGAGAGCCCTCTTCGTCCAATGCGATAACATCTCTGCTAGACAGATCCATAACTGCAGAAAGGAATTGAGGACTAACAATTCCTTGATGCTTATGGGAAAGAACACTCTTATCAAAGCTGCTTTGCAAAAGAGACTCTCTAAGCCAGTTGAAGGTGAACCAGATTTTGAGGAAAGAAGCAAAACCTGGACTCCACTCGATCATATGGAGCCACTGGTAAAACTACTGAAGGGAAACCTCGGAATCATCTTTACCAACCACGATTTGACAGATATCAAGGATATTGTTGAGAGACATGCCAGAGAAGCTCCAGCTAAAGTTGGTGCCAATGCCCAGTGTGATGTATGGATCAGAGCCGGACCAACTGGATTGGACCCAAAACAGACACTCTTCTTCCAGAACTTGCAGATCCCAACAAAGATTGCCAAGACCCAGATTGAAATCACCACTGATAAGCAAATTATTTTCGAAGGAGACAAGATCGGTAGTAACGAAGCTGCTCTTTTGCAAAAATTGAACATCAACCCATTCTCCTACAAGTTGAAGGTTGCCCACGTTTTCGATAATGGAAACGTGTATAGTCCAGAAGTACTCAACATTACTCCAGAGACCATCATTGCATCCTACAGAAATGTAATCTCTAACGTTGCCTCTATTTCTCTTGAGACTGGAGTCCCAACTAAAGCTTCTGCTCCACACACTGTTATGAGAGTCTTCAAGAACTTACTCGCTGTTACATTCGAGAGCGACTACACATTCGAACAAGCTGAAGCCATTAAGAATGCTGCCACTGCTGCTCCAGCTGCCGCTGCTGCCGCCCCAGTTGAAGAAGCCGCTGCCGCTGCTGCTCCACAAGAAGAAGAAGCTGAAGATGACTTTGGAGGTGGTGCTGCTAACCTCTTCGGAGATGATGATGACGATTACTAATAATTCTTGAATAAACTGGAGTGTAAATCTTCCATATTCAATCCGTGTTTACTTTAAGGGGTTTTGGGGTTTTGGGGTTTTGGGGTTTTGGGGTTTTGGGGTTTTGGGGTTTTGGGG